CAGTTATTTTAAATTGTAATAATATTTCACATTATTACTGTTTTTCCTATAGTTATTTTTAACAAATGCTGCCTTGATGAGCATAAGAGAAAAATGACTGGCCCCAAAACTTTTAAATTAAAAGTATATTAAATATACAATATATGAAATATAAAAATGTATGATATGACCCCTTCAGAATATAAATGCAACTAAGCAGTTACTCTAATGTTCTCTGAATTAAAACACTTGTCTATTTTTCCATAGGATACAGCTCCACCTCAAAGAAGGCGAAGAGGTCGCCCCCGCAAACGTCCCTTGCCCAAACCAGATGTTTCCCAAAATTTCAGTGGAATTTCACCACCTGATCAGAAAACCTTGAACCCTCCAGCTCTATCCATGTTGCATACCGCAGCTCTCCCAGCAGCCAATCAGACCAGCCTCACTCAGCCAATGGACTGGCTTATAGATGACGTCATTGCGCAGCTCCCATTTATGCCCAGCAGTCAAAATGGAATAACTGTAGATTCCAACATGGATCATACAAGAACACAGTCCTCAGTTAAGCTCACAGATATGGGTATAATCCAACCGCAGTCTGAAGGTGAGCTGACCGACATACTTGATAGTTTTCTGAGAACGTTTGAGCAACATGTTGGTGTATGCGATTCAGACGTCCAAGATGGGATGATGCCCAACATAACAGATGGAACCCGGACCTGTGGACAGAGTTACACAGTCCACACAAATGCACATGCCACTTCTGTGAACACAACACAGGGATCAAAAGCCTCATTATCCAAAAAGGGACCACGAGTATCATCTGCACGTAGACTGCAGAAACCATCACGTTTTTGGCAGGTGTCAAGTGTGAAAATTGAAAAATCAAAAGGACAGCAAAGTGAACAGAAGCCTAAATCTGTCAGGATGACCAGGAGCCAGAGTAGGAAGAGGAAGCTGGATGTTATTGAAGAACTGCCTAGGAGAGACGAGCTCCCAACCAAACGGAAAAGAAAAAGAAAAAAAGAACAAACGGTGAAGACAAAGGTAGACGCTTCTTTACTAAAGAAGAAAAAGAGAAAGAAAAAAAATAGCATGCTGCATAGTGAAGAAAAGTGCACCGGTAGCACAGCTGACTCAAGCTGCAGTGTTGCAAGTGCATTAAGCAAAGTCATAAACACAGCTAGTGGCCAAAACATGAAGTGTGTCACACAAACAACAAAGGCTTTGGATCGGTCAAAATCCTCAGAGCTGCATGCTCACAAAGTGTCCAGTCTTGTAAAAGAGAAACAAGTGGGACATGCTAAAAGAGACACAAGCGAGACTCTTCTAGAAGGAAGTACGTTAAAGATGCAGTGCAGTACAGGGAGTTCACAACCCAAGCTATCAGCCACAAAGAATAAATCCACTGGGTCCCGTCCAGCTCTTTCTGCTTTTGAGTTAATGAAAAAGATCTTGGAGAATCACCAGAAGAGAGAGGAAGAGCACAAGGGAAAAGATCACAGAATGTGGACTGTGAAAAGACAGAAAGGAAAGGAAAGGCTGACAAATGCGCATGTGCGTGGAGCTGAGGTGAAAATTACTGAGAATAAAGAGAAGAATGCTAGAATCAGGGTTGAAGGGCACAATGAAAGCAGAATAAACCAAAAAGATAAGGAAAGAAGTGGGAGAATAAAAGAAGCTGGCAACCAGAAGAAAATTTTTCTTCAGCAGAATCTGCCATCAACTAATGGTAAGAGCTCAAAATAATTCAGTCCTCTGTCAATATTACAGATTTGTATATTTAATTGTTAATGGTCATTTCTCCTATTTTACATATCAATTGCCTTTGCTGCCATCTAGTGTTCACATAAAATTAATTTTCAAAAACAAATAATCTTTGGCAAAATGAACCTAGATTTTGTTATTGTATATTATAATGCTTGTCATGCCTAAATGAACTTGTAGCAGTGTTATTTATTTTCTTATGTACAGTTATAGTATATATAATTTTGAATTAAATGTTTTCATATTTTCTATTTAATTTTAGTTTGTTTTATTAATTTTGCTATGTGCCTTTGTAATTCTTGTCTCTTTATTTTTATTTCAGTTTTAGTTTTATTCATTTTAGTACTTAAGCTTATTTTATTTCACATAGTTGCCAAAAAAGATTTTGTTTGTGCTTGTCAAAAAGTAGATTATAAATATGACATAAGATATAGTCGATATAAGAACAACATTTTTTTTTAATAGTTTTAATTTTAGGTAACTGTAACAACCCTGGCAATTTAAATGATTTATTTTTTATTTAGACAAGATAGTATAAATTTAACAGACTGCTCATTTATAATAATATTGTAATGATCAGCTTTTATTAATACTACCCTCTTGTAATAATTATTTATTCCCAGGTTGCAGCATGTCAAAAGGAGAGAGACTGATGGAGGATGACTACAGCAAGCCAAGATCTGAGACTGCTGACTCTCTCAATGATTCTCCTTTGCAAAGATGCAGCTCAGAAGGCATCATGCTTACAAACACAGCAGACAAGTCTTTTGTCTCACATGCACAAGAGCCCACCACACCTCTTGAGAAACTCGGAAACCCACAAGGGTCAATAGCCATTTCAGAAGAGGATGAGGATGTTGATGTTGTGGAGGTCTCTAGTTCTTTGTCCGAGTCCTTCTCTGTGCCGCCAATCACTGCAGATATTGTGCTCAGCACAGAGGACAGTGATGAAGATGACGAGATTGATGTGATAAGTTTAGGATCTAATTAAGTGTGTAGCAATTTCTGTTACTGTTTATTACTGTTTAGCTTCAGAGTTCTGAATAAATGTGTGTTGGTGCTTATTTGAAACACTATTTCAAATGATCAGACTTAGAACATGGTACCTTTTCCCTGTGTATAATTCAATACATAGTTCACACAAGGTGACACTTGGCAGTATTTGCTCTTTCGACTTTGGTGGCTTCAGTTTCAGGCATCAGAAATTTTTATAGATTTGTGTTCTGAATGTTAAAGTTTATTTTGTGTCACAATGATTGGGACTGCTATTAATGCATGCTGAGTTTATTTGTCATTTGCCGTATTTTGTAGACATGTTCGGAATTAAAAGACATGGATCCAGCCTTGGTTGTTCTTGTGTTCAAATAGGGGATTCCACATGTTCAAAGGGTGGCCGGCAAAACTCAATAATACAAAATAACCATTGGTAACATTTTACAATATCTTGTTTGCTCAAGTTAATGCATAAGCTAACATGCACTAACAAAGAGCAATGTGTTTTACACCATTTATTAATATTTGTTAGTGTGACTTCACGGCGCATTAAGTGATGTTAACATACAACTTTTGATTTTAAAAATGTATTAGAAAATAAACTAAAAAACATTTAATAATCTTAATGTTAACAAACTAAACCTTACTGTACAGAACCTAGTCATGTATTGCGAAAGAACTGTTAGTGTAAAAATAATTGTTACTGGTAAATTATATTATTGCCCAGATATATATTAAAATATAAGTTATGCAGAGGTCAGACAGATTCGACCACAATATTAAAAAGAAGATACTATGTCCGTTTTTGAAGCAATTGTTAGCTAAATTTGGGAAGAAATAGTGCAGCAACTTACATCGTCAACCTGCT